GCATCGCTTAGGGCCTTGCAGCATCGTTGTATCTCTGGTGGAGGCGTCGTGCCAGTAGATCTATTCTCGTACAACATTTTCCGTGATTCGCTCTAATAGAGAACGAGTTTGTCAAGCTTTCACAGGGAGAGTATGTGTCGCATCCTGCTTGGATTCATTTCCTGCTTGGCTCATACTGCTTATTCTCTGATCTAGGTCATCTGTGCTGATTACACTTGACGGCACTCTACTCGACGCGCGATCCGCATCTGTACAGACCTCGACACCTGCTCGTCCTTCATGCATCCCTATCACTCCACCAAAGAGAAAGCGATCGCTAGCTCTACCAGATACTCCCGATACTCCGAGAAAGCGACCCAGCCGCCGACGCAACATCGCTTGAGTCTATCTACCGGCTCAAGTGTATTCTATTCGTATGTCACGCTAATTTTCCGTCGAACCCTTCGGCTTGGCTTGGTCACAAACACAGTGCTCGAGGTCTGTGTCCATACTCTGCACTTCTATACCAAACTACTCACGAGTCACAATCAATTGAAGTCTTTGGCAATTGATAGAGGCTTCGCCACATTATTAAAGTTTCACCGATTGTCCCCCGCTATTCAATATACGCTGTCACGCTGCAGTAAATTCTAGAGTAATATCTATAGACCTTCTATTATCTTTGTCCATACGATCTTACACGTGGTTTTTCGGACCTTCGTATGGACGTTCTTACTGTTCAAGTACCTATCTTAATCCGCGGCGAAAGCAATTAAATTGGGTATATGACCAGACGACCGCACCAGTATTTGATCAACGAGCGTGACGCACCACAGCGGCGAACTCAGCGCGGAAGCCTGAGGTCTCGATATTTGCCATGTCCCCGCGTTTGTCGTATGGAAAGAACTGCCCGGGTCATGGACGGTTGGCCGCCACATGCATACCATGCCCTTGCATCGCTGTTTCTCATTCAAGATGACGAGCAAGCTTTCTCGCGCAAATTTCTCGGACGATACTGTTGCCTGCATTCACAACTGTATTCCTAAGTTTCACCAAATCGCCTCTTGAATAGCGGAATTCATAAGCTGAGCTCCTACATGCTAAACCAGCGCAGTTTAGCCACTGATCACGTACCGCGTTGCTCAAGCAAAGCATCTGTCTTTGACACTAGTACCCGACGGCATGCATTAGCAAAGCAAAGCTTCCAAACAAGAGACCAAGCCTCCTAACGCCCCTGCCTTTGTTCAAGGATCACAGGGAGCTTCCCCCTTATCGTGAGATACACATCCATCACATCCTTCTCCCACAGGTCCAAATCGTACCCCTCCGCCTTGCGCAGCTCGAACTTGTGCATCACCGCGCACACGACCGCGCGCATCTCAACCATCGCGAGAGCCTTGCCCGCACAGTTCTGCGGGCCGACGGAGAACGGGATGAACGCGGTGCGGTTCGTGGTGACGTGCGCCTTGTCGACGGTGGCGCCCGACGGTAGGACGTAGGTGTCCTGCGCGAGCCAGCGGTCCGGCCAGAAGTGGTCGGGTAGCGGCGCGAACTCACGCGGGTCGCGGTGCAGCGAGAACGTGTGCACGGAGACCTGGGTGCCCTCGGGCACAACACTGAGTTGGGCGGAAGATTCAGCTGCAGGATACGCGGAAAGGCAAGATATGGACGTACTAAGGGCCGACGGTTGCGTCGCCGGATCCGCGCTTTACGGCGCGCTGGAGGCCACCGAGGACTCCTGGCAGCAGGCGTAGCGTCTCGTTGCTAATTCGCAAGGCCGTGAGACTTCATTCCCCTACTTTATCTGGAGATTGAGAGCTTACATGCAGGCGTTCAGGTAGGGCATGTCCGCGTGGCGCGAAAAGTCCAGCGGGTCCTCGCCCGGCGGGAAGGTCGCGTCGATCTCCTTGTGCAGCTGCTCGGCGCATTCTGGGTGGCGCAGCATGAAGTAGCAGAAATGGCTGAGCACGGCGGCCGAGGAGTCTGAGCCCGCAACAAGCGCAATCAGGCCGTCGGCAATGATCTCATCCAGCGTGACACGGCTTTCCGCTGCGTTTTCGTCCTCCGTCTGTGATGATGGTGAGGCGGGGAAGCTGCCGAAAGACCTGAGCAGCTTACCAAGAAATAGATCAAATCCTTCGACGTCGAGCCTCTTTTTGTCCTCTCTTGAGTGAGTGTAACACCCAATTGCCGCATGACCTTTAAACCCTCCATCGCAGGCGGAATTTGCTTAAGGAGTGGCAGGATCCAGGGAGTTCGAGAGATGATAGCACCGGCGCTGAACAACTTTGTAAGATGAAAGACTCAAGGAAGAGTACGATAGAGGCTCACTATATTCCACCCTCTACTTGGTGCTTGAGACCATCATGGTCTCCACCAGCCTTGATCAAACCGAACTCGTGCCCAAACGCCACATGTCCTATGATATCGAAACTGATGATCCTTTCGTTCAGCTCAATGAGCGCCGGACTAGACGGCTGCCGACGCACCCAAAAAGACCCATCCAATGCGAAATGTCGATTGTCTCCTTCTGCCTTTTCGACAGCGCCTCCACCAGTTCCAGCGTCTTCATCTGAACAATAGGCTCGTATCCTTTCAGGGCCGAGCTGTTCATTGCCCTCACCCACGGCTTACGACGCGCGCCGTGAACGAAGAAGTCGCGAAGGCCGTCTATCGTAGTGATATTCTCAGGAGTTGTCCGGGTGTCGTAGTCTAATTAAGTCTCATTGAGCAAGTCTGGCAAGATGTTTCCGCAAGCTCAACGCACATGGACCCTTTTGCATACTCTTGGCGCCATAGATTGGTTGAAGGGCATCAGGGTTGCGGAAGGAAAGCTCGTTGGGGCCTACAACCAGGACGAGTGAGCGTTGCAAATATGCCACTGCTGAATGCCAACCAACCGACGCGGACCACATCACCATAACGGTCATGCCAGTCCCTGATTACTCGATGGAGATCTCCGCGTCCAGTGAGATATGCCACGTAAATGTTGCTGAGCCTCCCAAGGATCGGCCCCGGGTACTTCGCCAGAGGATGGAAGTGCGAAAGACGGTAGATGGCCGTGAATGCAAGGACAAGGCCCCAATAAGATACAATAGCATTGGCTTGCTGAAGGAACGACAGCTGGGGGCTGAGTCGGCCGACCAGCAGGGCGGGCACACCGAACAGCAGAGTGGCATGGATCGAGATAGTATTAGGTTCGAAACGCTTGTAAATGAGATAGCACGCCTGGATGTGTCTCAATCATTCAGAGGCTATCCAATTCGAACGAGGTGGCACTCACAAAACTCGCAGGGCACATGAGCAGCTTAGGGTCCATGCTGTCGAGCATATCAAAGGACCCGCTGTAGAGGAGGTTTCTGCGTAAAGGTCAGCGCTCGATGCTGGACGAGGGGAGAAGGAATGGCCGAAGAATGACTTGGACTCTGGACATGTAGCTGAACTCTATGAACTGTGCAGTAAGACACTCACTCGACTGCTCGTACTCGCGCTCGTCGCGAGTGTGACTCGATGGCTCAGAGAACAGACTTATGCGTGGAAAGAGGGGAAAGGGAGAACTTATCCTGTTTCAAATTGAGACATAGGGTTATATGTTACAGGGCGCGCCTTTCCGCTGTGTTCTCGCAACCAAGCTCAGACACTAGGGGTGTTCAAACGTTCAAAGTTCGCTTTGATGGCGATTCGGAGGATGAAACGGAAACTCGAAGTGGCACGGTTTCGGGGTCTTTTTTGGAGGCGTCTTCGCCCCCTGAGAGCATGCAGGAGCCCCGCTACAGGCACAACACGAGAGAAATTTGGAACTTTTTTGTTACAAAAAATATGCGAAAACAGCCTGAAAAAATAAGTAAGAAAATGCCATATTTTTCCTCCCGGTATCCGGCGGCCCGGCGACTCGGCAACCCGGCAGCCGAGCCGATTGTCCGCCAGGCCATTGTCAAAGCGCCCGTGGCTGCGGCACCCGGCGGACAATCGGCTCAGCTGCCGGGTTGCCGAGTCGCCGGGCCGCCGGATA